CTTGAACTCCTGACCTTAGGTGATTCACTTGCTTTGGCCTCCCAAAGTGCTGGGATGTGAACCATCATTGGCCTGCCAAATTAAAATATTTAATAACTTTAAAAATCCCCTGAGAAAAATTAGCAATATTTAGAGTATTATTAAGTTAAAATAATTTGAAACTATTTTAACTATTCATGAAATGAAACACATATTTCCATACAGTATTCTTTGACATACAGCACTTAAGTGCAGACACAATATAACTTCTCTAAGTCAAATACTTCACAAGAACTCTTAGGGGTAAATGCAAAATATAATAAATAGATCATTATTTACCTGCTCATGAAAACTTTAATTTTTGGAGAACTTACTCTTCAAAATGATTCCAAGTTACAGAAAAGAAAATGATGAACACATTTATAATGGGATTTAACAAAACATGCATAGCACGTGGCTTACACAGTCACCTCATCTTACTTTATTTTATAGATGAGGAAACTGAAGCCTACTGGTCCTAAAGGTACAAGAACACGAGGCAAATGAACAGATGCTAATCCAATTGCTTTGTACCTCAATCCAAAGCCTTTTGTTTCATGACCCCACATGGCATCTTCCTTGCCCACCATGATGTGGAGGTGCTGAGAGAGCAGGGCAGAAAGACGGTATTTAGGAGGTAAAATCAGAATATTAAGCAAAACTGAAAACTCTGTTTTGGAGTGCAAATATCCATCTATTCAAGGGGAAAAATAAGTAGTAAAGAATGCTAAATTATTTTGATATCATTTACTAGTTATGTCTGTATTAAGCTGATTTAGTATAATTTGAATGAGAAAGACCCAAGGTGCTCTGAAAGTGCTAGAAGCATGTATATTGTGGCCATGCATGCCGTTTTCATGCTGATGATAAATACATACCTGAGACTGGGCAATTGACAAAAGAAATAGGTTTATTGGACTTACTGTTCCACGTGGCTGGGGAGGCCTCACAATCACGGTGGAAGGTGGAAGGTGAAAGGCACATCTCACATGGTGGCAGCAAGAGAGTGAATGAGAGCCAAGTGAAACAGGTTTCCTTATCAAACCAGCTCTTGTGACATGTCTTCACTGCCAGGAGAAGAGTATAGGGGAAACCGCCTCCATGATTCAATTATCTCCACCGGGTCCCTCCCAGGACACATGGACATTATGGGAGTACAATTCAAGATGAGATTTGGGTGGGGGCACAGAGCCAAACCATATGTGTAACATTTCCTACTTGCCCATATATTTATGAGTGTGTGTGTGTGTGTGTGTGTGTGTGTACATATACATACTCATTCACTGATGGAGTGAGATAGGATAATTTGAAATATGGAAATTTTTTTTTTCTGGCTGATGGTGGCTAGATATCATCACGTTTAGATATCTAAGACTTCAACCTGTATTTTTATACTGGTATTTTTAAGACTAAATAAAACCAAGTGGCTTAGATAAAATTGGACTACTGTGGTAACACCTTCCATAACTAACAACAGTTCACCTTCATCAATTATATACTTTTTAATGAAAATATTCTCTTGTACAGCTAATTCTCTTTCTTGAAAATGAACCCTCCAATATTTATTGTGTGGAATATCACAAATAAAATTTCCCATTTTATTTGTGATATTCAAGAATATCACAAGATCAAGAATAATGGTAGTTTACTTTTAATATGGACAACATGCCTGTAATAATCCTTTTGCTTCTTAGTAGGAATTCTAGTTAATATTCTTTTTCATATCATACAGATTTATAAGCATTTCAAATTAGTAATGACATTTCAGTTGAATTTGAGACCCAGGAAACATTTTTCATAGTAGAACTAAATATCTTGAACAAAAATTTTCTACATTTAATTCTTTGGAAAAATAATTTTAAATCTTTTAGGTATTCTTTTTATCAAAGGTATAGAATATTTTTCCATTTGTATAGAACATTTATCCTGTGCTATGTGCTGAATAAAGTGAAACAGATATGAGTTTTTTTCCTCTAAAAATATTCTGACAAATGCTAAGAATCCGCTACAATAGTGATGTGAAAAGCAGTCTTTCTGCAATTGATGGAAGTATTTAATGGAAGTAACTGAACATTTAGAAGCTCAGCTTTAAGAAATTATTTTGAAAAAAAATTTGATAAGCACATTTATTCACATACTAATTCAACTCAACTTCCTGACTTTGGAAAAGAAGACCAAGAACTCTTGGTTAGAAAAGGAATTACAAGTTGTTAAAAAAAAATCAAGAGACAATTGAATATATTTGTTTATAATGAAAACAGCCAATATTATCACTGTTTAAAGCCTGCTCTCCCTCCAGCCAGCCGACCGTACCGACTAACTTACACATTGTCCTGTCCCTGTTTAGCTTGCCTTGCCGCACCCCCCCATATCAACTGTGTTTAGTAGAACTGATCTTTGTTGGTGCAGTCTATGCATTGGATAGGAGATTTGCTCAGTTGTTAAAAGTCAGGCCATATCTATTTTTTATATATGTGTTATCCTGAAATTTTATATGTTTTGCCAAATCCAGGAATTGTATTTTAAAAGTTAGTATTACTACATTGCAGAGTAAACGAGATGTGACACCAAGTTTATTCATTTCTCATTGGTGAGGAACTGACTCATTTATTTACTCATTCATTTATCTATTTTTTTGAGTGTCATATGGTCCATGTCCTCTACCTAGCAGTGAGGATATAATGTAAAATAAGATATAGCTCTAGTCTTAAGAAATGTATATTCTTCTGTTACCCTTTGGCCTCCACAGCAGTGAATGGTATTACCCAGTGCTCCAAGAATCTTAATGATATCCTATTTTCTCCCACCCAGTGTAAATCATACACTTTCTAGCACTTTATACATATTATTGCCAAAGTTTAACTACAGTGAAGTTTAAAATACTGTAAAGAATATTAATATTTTATTCTCACAAAACTTCTACATTTTATAATGATAGGATAGTCTGTGAAGGCTTCTTTCAACAGCTTTATTGATATATCATTGATATGTAAAAAAAGTATATATTTAAGGTGTACAAGTTGATGTTTATATATATATATGGTGACATGACCATCGCAATCCAGTTAATTAACATATCTATTGCTCCACATAGTTACTTATCATTTGTGTGTGTGCATGTGTGTGTTAAGAAGATTTAAAATCTGTTCTCTTAGCAAATTTCAAGTATACAATATGGTGTTGTTGACTGTTGTCGCCATGCCGTACATTAGATCTCCAGAACGTATTCATCCTGCACTACGTAAACTTTGTACCCCTTGACCAATGTATCTCCATTTCCCCGTCCCTCCAGCCCCTGGCAACCGCCATCCTACCCTGCTTCCATGAGTGTGACTATTTTAGATTCCACATATAATTCAGATCATGGTATCTTTCTGCGTCTTGCTTACTTGGCTTAAAAAATGTCTTCCATCTCCATCCATATTGGCACAAATGGTAGAATTTCCTGCTTTTTAAGGCTGAATAATAATCCATTGTGTATGTGTGTATAACTTTTTCTTTGTGCATTCAACTGCTGAAGGACATGTAGTTTGTGTCTAGATCTTGGCTGTTAATAATGCAGCAGTGAACACCGGGGTACAGATATTTTTTTGAGATGTTGTTTTCATTTTTTTTTGGATAAATACAAGGAAGTGGGATTACTGGATCATATGGTAGTTTAATTTTTTGAGGAACGTCCGTACTGGTTTCTACAATTTTTGAGGGCTTTTCTTGGAGCTAAAACACCAGCTTCAGCAGTGAATGGTGTGGGAAGGGCTGGGTTAAGGGAGCAAGTGGGAGCACCAGAGATTGTTCCTGATTTACAAACATCTGAACATGTGATCTTAGAAGAGTGATTGTTGTGGCAAAGTTCTGCTTTGAATATATGTCATAGTATTATATTTACAAAATTAGAGGCAAGGCGAGAGAATGTCACAAAAAAAAAACCCTTCAGATATTGAACTCAGTAATTTAAAAGTACTTTTCCATGATTCACTAGGAGGAAATTTTTTTTTAAAGTACTAAAGGTAGTCAGGATTTTGAAGCTGGAAAGGAAATAAGGTATTATCTATTTTAATTACCTCATTATAAAGAAGAGAAAACAGAGAAGCAGGGAAAATAAGTAATTTGTGTAATATTCTATAGTTTACCTAGACCTAAAGAAATTTATATAGCTAATCTGGGAAATCCAGAACTGAAACCCAACTTTCTTAACAATGAATTCAGTATTGTTTCCATTGTGCTGAATCAAAGTGTATTTAAATTATACTAATGATGCTTCTTTGTTTATTCACTTATTTATTTATTTATTTGCTAGTTTTCTTTTTTTTTTATTTCAGAGCTGTAAGCAAGATGGTTTAGTGACTTAGCCCTTCTTAGCACCTATGCTGTGATAGACTGTGTAGTCACGTAGCCCGCCTTTTCAAAGTGGAAAGCACTACAGAAAAACACCTGTGATTTCGTGAACTACAGAAGCATCTGACTGACCAAATTTACACTTCTTGGTACCAATAAAATGTAATGACTCATGGAATAAATAATTCAGTGGTAAACCAATTAGTGAATCACTAGAATTACAGGGAAAACTTTGCTTCCCCACAAGGGTCAAATGAGTCTATTTTAAGCCACTTTTCCAAATCAAGAGAAAACATGCATATTTAAAAATGATTCCAATAGGGAAAAATCATTTTTGAATGTTTTCTTCCTTCAGGAATACAAGACTTGAAATTTCTGATTTGTTCCCTTTTAAGTATAAAATGGAAAAGATCAAATTTTACACTCGTAAATATTATGATGCGCTTTTGATTATGGATGTTGAATCTGGATTCTATTAATATTTGAAAGTGATAGGATGGTAATAGCCAATGAATGTGTTAAATTGTCTACACTTTCCAGGAAAACTATGGAAAAAAAAATATTGTCACTGTTATACCAACATAGGTCTTTTGAAATTTGTACTAGAAAATATATTTGTTTTGCCTTTGAAAAAAATCATGTAAGTCTTCAGTTGATATTTGGCTTTATTGATTTCCAATACAACAACGAGTTCACATTGTAAGGAAAAAAAATCTCAAGATATAGAGACCACATTTTATATCCTTACAGCAATGTAAATATAAGCACAAATGAAGAAATTCATATATTTTTTAAGAGCTTAGAATCATCAGAAATGTTATACATGTAGAAGATACATGTGATAAAGAAGTTTGGTTATGAACAAAATAGTAGAAAATTTTTATAGATAAAATGTCTCTCAAGAACATATCCTTTTGATATTTCTCATGGTATAATACAATTGATTGTGTTGTGAATAGCATTTGTCTATAAATTCAAGTTATTAAGAGTACGCTATAGAACATCTTCATGCTAGACACACAATTCATATGACAGTTTTTAAAGAACAAATTCGTATGACAGTGAATTTTGTTAATAAAGGAAATATCCATTAATTGACTACTACAGTAGAAACTTCATAATGTTTGTGTAATGAAGAAGGACTCTCCTTTTCATTATATATTAATTGCACTACATAGGTATGCTGTAAATTTTGTTACTCATGTTATAAAAATTCTAGATTCCATTGCTTTTGGCATCTGTTTCTTTTTAGGAACTAAAAGTCAATTTATAGTTTGATTTCTGTTCTATTTGTACTGTGTTCCTGGTTTTGTGTTTTTCTAAATTAAAAGATCAAACCCACCACTTTCAATATACTGTTTTCTGTTTAAAGTTTTGAGTTACAGTCAGGAACTGTTGTTGGACTGCATAGTTTTCAAAAGTTTTTGGTACATTTCTGACTTTAGAAATCTGGGATAGGAATCCCTTTCCATATGCATATAGACTATTTTCTGAGCTTCTTCAAAACATGTTTCAGTGGGTTCCTGAATGTTCCTGATGATAGTCTCTCTTGTCGAACTGTCAATGTTAATCTGAAAAGTGAAATTACATGTACAGCATAAGTAAGCATTGTTGAAAAAAGGCACATAGAATAGAAAGATTTAATTTATTTCCTGCTCTCCTTTTCAGTGGAATAGGGTAATTTTCTTTGTATTTTTATTGGCATCTAGTAAGATATATAAAAAATAAGCATTGTGCTTTTTTAAAAATAAATATCCACTTCTACATCCAAGAGGAACAAAAAATAAAATCATAAGGCTCAAGACTAGGGAAGTCTCTGAAACCGTGGCTTGTTCCGGAGGATGTAAGTGGTTTTTCAGTAGCAGTCTACAAACCAGGAAGTTTATAAGACAAACGTCTCATTTTAAAAAAAGAGAAGTTGGTGCTATTTTACAATTTATCTTCCTTTAATAGTCACAAATGTTGCTTTAACTGAATATGCTCTGAAATGGGAAGAAAATGAAGAGAGCTGGATAAATAGAGGAGAGAAGTGGCTATTTCAATAAACCAAGTATTTTCCAGACAAGAGTTTTGGGGAATGTGTCAATAACATGGGCTTGCCCTGCATGGTAGAAATCTCATACACTGTCCTCTCTGTTCCCTTACAGGACTTTTTAGTTCTCATTGCCCAACAACGCAGAATTTCCACATGTCTCTTCATGGTATGTATAGTTCCTGTTGGCAAGCCCAATGCTTTTGCCACAGACTCCTTTTTTCTTTTAAGTTTCCTGGAAAATAAGATAATTTAATGAGGAGAAGCTTTGGAACCAGTAAATCTAATTTTGAATCCTAACTTTACCACTTAATGGCTGTGCAGCACTGGGCAAGTTCTCAGAGTCTCAGGTTTGTTATCTGTAAAATAAGGTCAGCAATACTGAATTTATGGCATTTTAGGAGATATTGGTTGTAAAGTGCCCGGCACTTATGGATGCTTGACAGATATTCGTGCCCTTGCAGGGACGAACTGATTTCCATTTCTGTCATTGTCAGGTAGTTACCTCTCTAGGAGACTGTGGCTGGATGTAAATCTTATAAAGTTTCTTTGCCATAGAAACTCTGCTCCACCGTGAGGCAATTTTCTTATAGGTTTCACATGCCATCCAGAATTTAATATTCTCATCACTGTGCTCCATTTTTAAATATGCTGCATAGATGGCTGGACCATCTAAAAGTGGAGGAGAAATAAGTTTATTTTCATGGGTCAAACTCACCAAAAAATCTAAGCAATGCAGTTAAAAAAAAAGTCTGATTAAAAACTCAGAAATTATTTAACAAGTATCTCTTGTTAAATTATTTTACATCTATCTCTGTATATCAATTTTCGCGTCTATCATACACTTAGAGCTAACATTTGAAGCGTGTTTTGACAATGCTGATCACTGGTGAGGTCATCCCTTTACTATGAGCCAGTCAGAGCAAAATGCCCGCCAGTGTAGATGGGTCTAGGACAGACAGGACAGGGGACATCAGAAGAACCTAGGAAAAGGACTTCAAGCTGCTTAGGGGGACAGGGCTCTCATCCTGAAGCTGACATGAAAAATCTAAGATCTCATACCAAATGGTAGGGTAAGAGCAGGGCTTCAAATGTAAACTTCTTGGTCAAGGTTGGGAGAAAAATATCCAAGCCATGTAAGAGCGATACCCGATTCAGTGTGTACACCCTGGAGTGTTTCTCAGTGTCCAATCAGAGCAGAACACAGATAGATGAAACATTTAACTTCATATTCATGGTTTATGTTTCAAGCCAGATATAAGGGAGCAGGCAAGGAGTAAAAATTCAAATGGGATGCTAGAAACGATCTCAGAATCTAGTACAGGATATGGATTATGTGCAGCATAACCATCAAATGACACTTGATGCCAGAGGTTCGTATGTCCAGTTCTGAACTTAAACGGCCTTTCTGAAGCACCTAGATACGGATAAACACAGGAGGAGCTTTTCCGGTTGAGACCTATGTTTGAAGAAGAGGATTAGGAGAGCTCTCACAAATATAGCATATTAATTGGAATCTTTGGGAAGACGAAGTATTCTCGAGGTTCAAGATATTAAATATTGGGGGGACTAGAAAGTCTCTTGGTATACCTGAGGAATTGGATTGCTAAATGAGAAAACAATAATGTAACTTTCAATTGATGTTACTAGATGTTTTTGTAGGCACACTGAATAATGACCACTTAGAGACTGTTAGCGTAGGATATTTTGTTTACCAGAAGCTGTGCATAATTTCGTACAACTTGATGAATTTGGAGATAAGTATATACTCAAGAAACCATTACCACAATCAATCCATCAATATATCTATCACCTCCGAAAGCATAGGATTTTTATTAACGGTATCTTGGTCAGTATCATTTACTGTTATGAGAAATAATAGTAGCCAGATGGAATGAAAATGATGAGTAAGATCTTATTTTCCCGGATCTTCATCTAAGAGATCATGTCAAGTTTTCTAGCACTAGGAAGCCAGGCTCCTTCATAGCTTGGCTTTGTTCGCAGTGATAAAGGAACAAAGATAACAAAGTATTTTGTCTTCGAGAAAAAGAATGCAAATAGAAGTAGATCTCTTCTAAGGAGGCGTTGGAGTTGGGGAAAGCTGAATATAAATATTGTATCCTAGAAATACTCAAAGTTGGAGCATGGCATTGTTACCATCATATGGGCAAATGCAGCCTTCAGGACACTGTGTGGGAGATGGTTCGACAAGGACATAACATGAGATGAGCTAAGACGACAGATGAGGTGGAGGCATTATATAAACGTAACATAGAAAATGATGTAGATTAGATTCCTAGCCAACGTGAGGGGGATATATTTTGGATTTCAAACAAGAAGGTTATTTTCACAGTGAAGCGACTCTAAGTTGTGTGTCTCACATAGGCACAGAAAGGTGGGAATAGAAAACACTGATGCAGGAATTGGTGCTCCTATTAGAGAGATAGCTGAATCGTGGGTAAACCAAAAAGCAAACAAATGAACAAATAAATCAGAACAAAAGGCTGTTTGTGGCTTAAAAGTAAAGTTGGAAGCCAATATTTAAATAGTTTGTACTTAGCTATGGAACAGAAAAAAATGAGATGCCAGATAAAAATCTATGGATCATGGAATGACAGTCAGTCACACAGTCTATTTGGATGGGTTGAGTGGGTGAGTAGGTAGGGCAGGAAAATGATATGGAGACCAATATTAGATTTCAAGCTAGTAGTCTGAATTCGTGTTTATGTTTAGCCTAATTGTACAGCAAAATGTGTATAGATTATCATTTTAGTACCAGCTGTATCTGTATCTGATTTCTTTAATTTTCTTCCTGATAGATTGGAAGAAGTATCCTTGCTTCTTTTTGGCTGGCCAAATGGTTCTACAGTTCTTGACATACCAAAGTCTTTTGCTAATGAAGCCATCTATGCATTGCTTTGTCTGTTTGTCTGTCTGTCTGTCTGTCCATCTGTCTATCTACCTATCTTTTATTCTGTCTTCACAATCTATTTCCTCTATCTATCTATCTCTCCACACATAAATACACAGATCATAGATCCAAAGTTGTAGTATTCTATATATACTGCACGGATATATGGTATTCTATATATACTGCTTAGATATATAGTATTCTATGAATACTATTAAAATATGATATATTTCAGGTACTTGATGTGGCAGATTGCAGTATTATTCCTCAGTTATTTCCTGATCTTTGTGTCAGGGGATTATATTTCCATGTCCTGTTTATATCAGGATTGGCCACTGAACTTGCGTTAGGCAATGAAATACATGCAAAAGTGCCATGGACATGTTCAAGCAGAAGGTTTTAGAACCATCATGTGGTTCAATTTCCCATGTCTCACAGCCACCAAAAGAAGAGCATATTCTAGAAAAGAGCTACTCCTTTAGCCTGAAGGTTGGAATGAAGGCATGGAGTAGAGCTGGAGCTGACCCAGCTATTGTGTATCATGAAAAAGAAGTGAATCTTTATTATTGTAAATCACAAGGATTTTATATCACTTGTTACTGTGTGATAACTAACGAAAGCTGGACTACTTGAGCCTGTCTGATATTTCAGATATAATTCTAGTGTACAGAATGAGTAGGCTCATGTGATTGGCATGTTTTACAGAATTCTGTCTTCGTCAGGCTAATTTTTGTCTCAGTATGCTGCAAGTTACTCAAGCTAGCAGCTGACAATGCATTTGTGTAAAAATGTTCCAGGAATCTTAGTAACTATTAAAGCCACAACTGAATTGCTCAGTTTAGAATTTCTATTGATTCACACAAGTGAATTACAAGGTGGAAAAGCCTTTTCTAAATCGGGCAATGTAGGCTGTTCTGAAGTTTTAAATGATACTAATTCCAGAACATTTGTGCTCAAGAGATTCTGCTTGAGCAGAGTGAATGAGGGATAAACAACAGAATTGCTCATTTAAATTGGAAGGATGAAAGAAATGGCTTATGTCATACATAGTGTGTACTTTTTCCTTAAATAGTGAGAGTGGTGCCTGGGGGAATCTCTAGCCTGTTCTTCTAAAACTAGTCACTAAAATTAGTATTTCTATGACACACAAGGTGACACATGCCAGTGTTCTTGATGCAGAAGGGAAACGTGGGCTTTCTCATGGCTGAGTCAGAACAGTGGACCATGTATTCCAGAATGATATTTTTCTGTAAGACTGCAAGGCTTACATCAGGCAGGAAATCCCAAAGGTGTGCTATGTTGTGGCATCATTAGAAATGCCTCTAAACCAATTTTAAATCCATTTTATTTTCAATCCGTAACACTGAGGATCATGCATTTCATAATTCTACAATAGTCTGTATGGAGTTTTACAGTGAGTTTTCAGTTTTATTAAAATTCTCTGTTATGGCTTCTATGCTGTTAATAATTTTTGATTTTTCTCCTACCTTATCATTGTTATTAATAATATTATTAATACTATAAACACAGCTTAAAGAACTGTGGGCCATTTTTAATGCAGAAAACGTCTAGTAAAGCAATAAGCCCTGTTAACAATTTGATATATTTCCTTTCATTCTTTTAATCGTTTTTTCATGACTAATTGCCTACCTAGCTAGAATTCATTCATCTCTACAAACACAGGTACACACTGGAATGATCCTATCGGCATTATAATATGAAAGCAATTGTGTATCATTCTTATTCTTTCATAGTTAATAGCACATAGCAAACACTTTCTCCTTTTCACTTTAAATGACCATATAATAGTCTATTGATGGGTGAGGCCATAATATATTTAGCCTCCCAATTATTATTGAAATGTGGATTGTTTCCCCTTTTCTTGGTTATAAATTATCCTACATTGAATATTTTGGCTTATAAATCTTTGAATATCTATTTTCTTAGAGAAAATAATTGATTTAAAGTAGTAGAGTTTTTAGGTTGAAGATGTAATGGTTTTTGGAGACTCTTGATACATATTGTAAAATTGCTTTCAGAAGGATTTCATTATTTTTCATTCCCAGTGTCAGTGTTGACTTACTCCACCCTCTCCAATCTAATGTGGCGAAATCAGCAACTTGTAATTGTTCAAATATGCATTTTAAAAATATTAATGCTTAAACAGTTTTTCATTTTTACTGACCATTTCTTTTTTCCTGTGAATTCTAAATCGTTTGTCTATTTTTTCTTTGCATTGCTAGTATCTCTTTGTACACTGAAGACACTCTCTCTGTTATCTTTATTGCATTACATTCTGTTCTCCTTTTGCCTATTATTTTTGTTTATGATTTTTTAGATGTATGTGTAAACCATCGAATCTGAAGAAGCCTCGATTCATCTGTCTGATCCTGCTTTCAATTTTCTCTGTAATTTTATTAGAGAAAACCCTTTAAAACAAAAATCTAGCCACAACCCTTCCCCCCTCAACATTTGCCATTGCCCCAGTGACAAAGGTCAGCCCTCGTTGCTGTGGTTTCCTTCCACTATCCTCCCATTCACCTGAGAACTCTTAGCGGATTAGGACTGCAGCTTATTCATCTTCATGTACCCAGTGCCTCAACACTGCCTGCTACCGAACACACAAATGTCAGTTTGCGGGTACCGAACACACAAATGTCAGTTTGCTTTGCAGGTATTGAACACACAAATGTCAGTTTACTTTGCAGGTACTGAACACACAAATGTCAGTTTGCGGGTACCGAACACACAAATGTCAGTT